CGGGACCGTCTCACGGTCATGTGATTATAATAGGCACACGTGATACGTAGACCCGATCAAGCCTTCAGATTTATCTACAGGCTAGTCCTATGAACCTATTACAAATCCCGGGAGACCCGAGGCGATCAGTAATTTGTCGAGTGTAGGGAGGCTGTAAATTGCTGCTTGTCGAGTTTCGCTTGACGTCGTTGTCAATTGCAACTCCGATGTACATTTCAATGGAAGAATATACAACTGTGAATGGCGTCATTATCTCTCTTTACACATTTAGCGATACGATCTCCGCCAAGCTGGCGGTTGGTGTGTCCATTTTGTTAGTGTAGCTTGCTTCGGATTTCATACGCTTTTAAACAGGAGATGTCAATTTCTGTCTCTGTGGTGTCGATTTCATGCTGAAATGGCTACTTTTGGTGTCGATTGCTTCCCGGGTAAAGATTATGATAAGATCTGTCCATTATTTATATCTGCATATGATTGAAAGGGGAAAATTGAATTATGCTTATTTCAAATCCATATTCCCACGACTTCAACCGATTTCTGTTCATTTGTTTGTTTGTTTGTTGTTTAACGCCGCACTCGATTTCTGTTTATGTAAGGGGACTATTTGTAATACAATACCGACATACATATACATATTGTGTGATAGGCGCGTAATCTCTATCACAAAATAAACTTCATCGATGGATTATTATTGAAATCTAAACAGATTAAATGTTTTCTTTCTTACTCACGTTATTTTCAAATAGTCGGGAAATCCACGAATTCGGTTCATTCTGGTAGAATACGTGTGCGATCAACTTCAGCTGTTATATTTTATTTCATGTACAGAATCCATACTGGTTTCACAGCGATGTCAGAGGAAACCCCGTCCGGTTTAACAAGGTTTAACAACACCCGCTCAAAGCTATTTATAGGTGGTATTACTCCGAGTGAGTGTAGAGGGAACCCGCCCCTCGCCACCCCCTACCCTTACAACCCATACTGATATTGTGTCCCCTGTAATTAACTATTTTTAAATAATGTCCTTTCATTCCATTTCCACACTCAACATTCAAACATAAAGATCAACAATTCCATTAAACATACCCCAACACTAACTTCAATCTCACCCTCCTCAACCACCCTAAACAAATTTTCTACTCTCGTTTTATCATCAAATGCTTACTCCATGTAGATGCAAACGTCCTGTGTCACGTCGGAATTTGACACGCGGAGATATAACTGAAATATGTTTCAATGCGGCGTTAAACCCAACTCACTCACTCGTCCCGTAAAAGTGATTCCTCCTCGGCTATATGTGTGTACAGCGAAACCTCGTAATCCAAGACCCCGTTAAACCGAAAAACACATTCCGGGCGATTCCAGCTGGAATACAAAGTGAAATAACCCTGTTAATGTGGACAGTGGTTCATTAAGGCGATTACATCGGAAACTATACCGTCCGGTTGAACGAGATTTCCCTATATACCATTTCACTGAAAATGCGATGTGTTAAACGTAGAGACGAAGATTATTTGTGTTTTTTTACATATAATCATATCATTAATATAAAGCAACCTAATTTATAAAAATGTGATGCTGAAGGATAAAGCAAATGCCATGTTTATAATATCATATTTGACAAATCAATACAGTAATTACTTTAAGAATCAATACATCATTAAAATTACACGCTAAAAACGCATGGTAACATCGGCATTCGCTGCCATTCGTTTCTAGGACGAACAGTAATGATTGTAATGAAATGTATATGAGAATGAACCAGTATTCACATGTTATTGATTTTGCAGGGTTCTTGTTTATAGGTTTCATTGTACTTGTAACTGCGAACAAGGAACATAGCTTACCGGTATATATTAACGAACCCCGTCTTTTATGGGAACTGCTTAATTTCAGTCAGCGCCTACTGGTCTACGAGCTAGCAGCTACTGGCACGCTTGCTTGCTAGCCCTTGCACAAGCGGTATGCTTGTCTGGGGAGGTATAGGTTAATTATGAGCGATATTCTAGGACCTGCAAACAAGGTGCAAATGGAGTAAAACTGTCAACCTATTTGCACAAAATGGCTCTAAGGTCTGTCCTCCATTTCGTCACATTAACGAAATTCAGCTTAAACTGACACAACAAACGTGTCTCCAAATAACACAACCAACATCCTACACTGGTTGAATTATTATGACGCAACAATTTCTCTTTTTGTTTATGTCACATAAAACATTCCCCATTTTCACATGCAGTAGGTGTCAATTGATTATTCTCTCTTAATTATGTTGTCTAAAAGTGCACCTCTGCACATAACAGTGTAGACACTACAAACCAGATTGTGACAAGATATTTACAAGTGTTTTGTCATTTAAATATATTTTAATTGGGAGATTACATGTGTTAGTTTAAATGTTAGTTAAATTACAGGGAGTAAAATCACAATGTCTCATTGATGAAATGTTTATCCTAACATACAATTCATAAATATTATTTAAAATGGAGTTTTAAAAAAAAGAATTTAAAAAGGACACCAGCAACCATCCTATGTGAAAACCGCATTCAATCCACAGCGACTCTTATTAATCCGGTCCAAACCGTATTTTGTGAAATCTTCCGGATTAAAAAAGTCTGCCTTACAATATAGTTTAGAATGCGGAATTTCCGCACTATTGAGGTTTCAGTTTATCTAAATAGGGAGTTCATTGAGCTTGCTCCTTTGACAAACAAACAAACGAGAACATAGGCACGTACACTATCCATCCTGGTTACTGGCAGGAGTCGTGCCTTCTCAATTTCACTTGTTCATACACTTGTTAAAAAGAGAAAAAAAAAACACTAAAAAACTTAAAACTTGTGTGATTGATACATCTAAACGTATAAAATCATAACAATTCAGCGTTGTTCCTTTGATTCAACGATGTTGTTTATATTTTCGGAGTAGAAACTTGTTTTATTGTTTACACTCCTTGCTGTTATCAATATGTCTTATAATATACACTCTGGATAGTTGAAACTGGTTTTCCTAATGCTTAAGGCGTGTAATGTGTATTATTAGAATCCACACGCTTCACCTAGGATTTAATTAGATATCAAGAAGGTTTCATGTTTTGAAATTTCTTCGTAAAACAATATCTATTTTAAAAACATGTTCCGGTTCCTTTACCCGTCGAAGTTGCCATATCACTGGAAGGGTGTGAAGGTCGTTTTAATTATTTTTTTCAACAAATTCCTCTTGAAACGTGTTGAATAAGTGTGAATGCAACCTGACAACAGACACGGCCACGTCGGTCAGTGAATAACACAAACTTATCCCTTATATGAATATACCGAAGCTTTTTATTTTTAAGTTCGTTAGAATAATCTATTCTATCCGCAAAGATACTCTCGAGGAAAGGCTGAATGGAGTGTTTTTCTTTGGCTAAGAAATATATGCTATATGATTGACAACGATGCACGCGGGGTGGTTTTCAAACAAGTGACAGACCTTTGTATCTTCCTGAAACGTACGTACATTTTCGGAAATATTTAAAACATTATTTACATAAAACTGTCATAGTTCTTGCTTTTAATAACAACAGATCTAACCAAATCTAATCGAATACATGTGCGAAATTGGAATTGTCACATTGTTCTGGCCATGGAGTGTGTATATTTAGAATATATTGCGGGGTAATATCGCAGTAATTGCGAATCTCATTCAAATGTCAATTCTTTCAGGGTTGACGATTACATCACAAGATTAGTCTTTTATTATTCACTCTCTCCAACACCAATGACCGTGACAAGGTCGTGTATATATTTTCAAACGCAGTAGATAATTGCAGCTGATTGTGTTCTGTGAAGGGCTACTGTTATTTACTACATCTGTACAGAATGTGTGTCAACATAAATGTTTATTGACGGTCAATAGTGATGATAATATACTGTTGATCTACACGATCTGTCAATACATTTGCAGTCACTTATTGTGGACGTGTACTGTTATGCTTGAGATTGATGATCACCAAAATTTCTTGAAATGAAACAGCCTAGTGGGAGAACAAGCTCTAATTTTGTATGCCAATGGCATATATGTATGTTGTTAGGATAACGGACTATGAAAGTATAAACATATTAGCCAGCCCCCATATGAATGACATGTCCAGCGGAAGGACAATAGAACGCAATGGCCCGGCCTAACGTGTCACGGTTTTACGATGTTATTGCTCGTGTTCAGGTTATTTTATATACATGTTCGACAGCCTATTGAAACTAAATGACGAAATATTTTCTATCAACGCCAATTATCTGCTGGTTTCCCTTGTTAAGTTTCCACCTTTTGTAATCTTATTACTTTTGTTGTTCTTACATGTGCAAACCGGGGGCACCCCGTGCATACATATGCTCTGTCTGTGTATTTATTCACCTGATGAAGGAGTAGGCACGTACGGATATACTCCGAAACGTTGTGTTCCTCATAATAAAGAAGTTGACATCCATATATTCTTTTCCTTATGTGTAAAATGCCTTTCAAAGACTTGAAATAATATCTTTTCATATTTTTGTAAATGTCCATTCGTCCTAAACTTCACCTTTTTCTTAGAAAATATACATGTACTAGATGCGTCAGCTCTGCATCCGGAAACGATGCTCCGGAGGGACCTGAAGGCACCTTCTGTTACATATTTAGCATTCCTTCAAAACACTGTTTCCCATTCTTTATGCCGTGCCTACGTTATCGGAGAAATCTCCGCATGAATTATTATAGTCGCACGTTTTTCAACAGGAGGCGATGACGGGAGAACAATACTACAAATAAATTATTCACTCATGTAATAATTCTTTCTCCAAACATCAGAAGCGAACCGTCAGTGGTCCCCCACTTGATATATGCACCTAAAAACACAGAGCCACGACAAACCACAGGCAAAGCGTTCATTCTTACCAGTAACAATTACTGTAATTTCCAGAGGGTCAAAGATCAACACTTAATCAGACTTCAAAGGAACGAGAAAAATCAACCACAAACCAATGTAATACATATCCTGTGACATTTATTCAGTCAAGTCAGAAAAAATACTCTTTGCGCATTCGTCATCAATATACATTAATTAAATTACTGTAACAACAATAACAACATATTTAATATCCTATTGCACGCACTATTTCGCGCCATAGTCTTCAGACTGTTGGCTCCAAGGGATCAAAGGTCGTTAATTTGGACCAAAGACGGATAATGAGAACTCGGCGGTCTATTTTGCACACCCGTAATCTAAAGCACCAATTTTCAGTACATCTAGCGCCCGCGCTTGAATCGGAAGTTGACAGACCACGTGACCCACGGAACCGGAAAGGCCTATCTCCCTTGACTAGGAATACTGTGAAGAAACATCTGAAAAAACAAAAATGAGATTATAAGAAATTTTGTAAAAAATATATTATGATTATATTATCTGAAACATTTCATTGTCTTATATCCATGATTATTAATGATCTTACGTGATATGAATTCTGTAGCAGTGTTGAAAATAGTCATATAAATGTTGGTATACATACCTACTATTATTTTCGACGTCGCCGGTTTTGAACCTCCATCATTTAACATCGGTGTAGACTCGGACATCCAGTAAGGGATTTTTGGAGCAATTGACGCCATCGATAAACAAACACAGGGAGAATGTTCCACAGTTGCTGAACCACACACACAAGTACATTGAGCACTATGAACACAGCTTAACGTTAATCTCATGCTGAAAGGTGATCAGGGGAGAGGGAATGACCTCTCGTGAAATCTCGCACAGGAACGGGACTGATGACTGAGCCAGGTGAGGTGCTTCCGGCTGGAGAGAGACTTGGAGACGATGAATGGGTTGAGTTCGGACTTGAAGGACTTCTGCCTACCACTGGTGACGTCATGGGTGACAGACCGTATGGTTGAAATCTCGAGTTGGACGAGTGTGACGAGAATACGGGACCCATGTTTCCGGTCAGACCGGAAGAGAATGAGTAACGCTGAGCAAGCGCAAGTTGGGACATGGCAAGCTGCTGTGCGAAGAGCGGATGAGACGATGATGATGGCACTCCATACGCCGACGTTGACAGAAGCGGATTTCTCAGCTGCGCATGTGCGGCAGAGTTGAGGAAGATGGAACTGAGTGGATGATGGAATGCTGAACTGGTTGATGGATACAGAGAGGATGTATGGACGGGGAAAAATGGATTGTTCATGGATCGTTGACACACTGTAACATTTGGTGGGCTTTTAAGTTCTTTTACGGGGTTGTGCGTGTGTTTAGACTCGCTCGGCTTGAGCAGGCTAGCGACAGAATGGTCCTTGACATTTTCCTTCGTCTCTTCAATGAGTCTTTGTCTCTTTGGGGGACTTTCTTTCACAACACTGTCTTTTTCAGATTCACTGTCACTGACGTCACATTTGCTGACATCACTTGATCCGATGTCGCTTGACGTGTCCTGCTCTCTGTTTCGTGTGTCCGCTAGTCTATCATCTTCAATCTCCTCTCGCTTCTCGCTCACGAGGCTGTCCTCGACTTCCGACACACTCTTGCTGGTCGAGAGGTCGTCAGCATCATCAACGCAGATCTCGTCATCATCGTCGGTGTGGCTTCCTTCTAGTGAGGACGTTTCATGCTCTGACTTTGAGGAGCCCAGTGGCCTAAAAAATAAAGCACCAATCATTAAGTTATTTCCATATTAATTGTAAAATTAATTACATATCTAATAATATTTCACCATTTCGTCGATAAATAATAAGATTACAGTGCGTAAAAATTGGTGTTGTTTATTTTACGAGTGTTGATTTCAATACATACCGTTTAACCTTGCTACCGCCGCCATTTTCCCGGAAGCCTTTTGCAAAGGGATTGTGGTCAATCTTCAGCTTGGTGATCTGGAATGTCAAGTAGTAAATATGAGTCCTCGAGGTAGACTGGCGCCAGTCTGATTATCATCTAAGCTCACCCTTCAAAGAGGCCAGCGTTAACACCTTACAGATCTCATAATATTTCCTCTCATGTTCAAATACCCCGAGGCGTTCTCCCTACATATTATATGAGCGTTTTGACACGGATAAATATGCTAGTAAGTAATCATACTGATAGGTTTAAGTAACAAAATTAACACCAATATCTCTTTAAAAATGGAGTGTAATTGATTGTTCGATGAAAGAAGAATCAGCTTTGTTGGAGGATATGTTGCTTGTTAATGTTTTTATATTAAATTTTATTTAATAATTTAATATAAAATACAGTTTGTTATATAACTGAATAATGTATGTATCCCTTTTCTTTTACCTTTTCATTTTGATAGGCAGTCACGGCTATAAACTGAGTTTCTGGGAACACAAACGTCTTGCTTGAGCTGTATGGCAGTCGAAGCAGATCGCTGGCACGGACAAGATGGAAACGAGGCTGGTACTTGTGCATCGAGTTGAGAATTGTCTGAAATAATAAAATATTCATCTGATTAGGCAATTGGACAAGTACTGGCGGTGTTAATCCGGTGCGGAGCTTCAATCAATACCCACATCGCGTCTCAGTTGATCCGCACGCTTCCCATTATAGAGCATTGGAAGGTGTCAAGTAAGGGCATAGATATAGCATTTATCGATCGTCCATACTGGCCTGTTAACACTCATATATACAGGAACACAGGGATTGGTCGCCTATGGCATTGAAGACCTGCGTTATTTTGTTATCGACTGTTGTCAATATCATGTCGATTTCATTTTACTGTGTGTTATTAATACAAGAAATGGTTGATTTCATGTCGATTGTCGATTTCAATATTGACTGTAAAACAGTTGTCAGTATCGTGTCGATTTCATCTTACTGTCTCGATTCATAGTGTTATTACAGTGTCAATGTTAAATAAAACAAATTGTCGATTTCATGTCACTGTGGCCTTACTACACATATGGAAAATATTTCCTTGGCAAATAGTCGGAGTATTTTGGTGTATTTCGCTGAAGGGCTTTGCTCTTTTTGAAATCTCACACGACAAATGCCATTATAAACAGAGACAGCTATCGAGACATCAGCTTGTTCATTTCAAAGTGTTATGTGTACATTTCACTTCGCGCTCAGTGTATATCGGTATTCGAGGAAGCTTGGGGATGATATACTGCATCTAAGGAAACATCTATTGCCTGATACAAGCTGTTATTTCCGTCAAAATGCTCTTAGTTCTAAGAAGGCTACGAGGACCGCTTACGACCGCGTCTACGCGTCGCCACAATGAGCGATATAGGTTGAATATGAGGGCGAAAAAGTTCCGCTCTATCCTTGTTATCTATCAACAGCGGCAGAAAGCAAGAACGATATATATCTGTAATCTACATCTTCTACCCTTGCCTACACGTGTAGACAACGTGACAATGTATACAATAATTATTCACAAATAAACATGTTGAGAGAGACCGTGTGAAAGTGCGTTGTGGGACCCTGTAGCTTGGCGAGAAAATTAATTAAGTCGCGTTGTGCTAAATGCCCGTTGGATATATACAATGACAGATTGTTTTGTTTATAGTGTCAATGTTTTCACGGTTTGTGATCGAAAACTATGACTCTAGCAACCCGTTTACATTCCCTGATGCAATGACTGTAACAAGAACGTACACCTTTTGTCTTCGAGTGCAAGCGCATGTCAACGAGTTCGTTGATGTATCCCTTTATCTAATGTACATTGCACGAACTGCCCCCTCACTCCAGCCAGGCAATATCAATCTATGACAGGCGAAATAGACAATCGCATGTATTTTTACACACGACTGAGCAAAGGGTCAAAGCATCTTCTATGCCGACACTACTCGCCCAATGAATGTAGAACTGTACTACTTACAGTAATATGTAACATTTATGTCTAATCAATGAGGCACTCCCTCAGGGTATATTAATCATTGCCAGACACTATATCACGGCGTACGTTTCGGTGTACATTTCACCTACGATGAAATCGACAACTTTTAATCTGAAATCGACAAGTTATCATACGAAATCGACAACTTATCATACTAAATTAACAAATTGATGTGTTATTACATGAAATTAGTAATTTAGATAATTGCAATATCATTTGGACAAATGTTCCTGCAGTTCTGCTATATATAAAGTGCCAATCATGACGTCACCACTTTTTAGAGCGTTAATTGTCATGGCACTTTTCGGCGAACGATGTAATGTAAGTTACAAAGACAAATTAATATCAAATAATTACGGCTTATTGACAAGCCAAGTCATGTTCAACGATGCATGGCAGAATACAAAGGGATCTTCCCAGACTCTCGTACTAAGTGACTTGACCGATGATTTGCTGTTCTAAACCCTGCCTCTGTCATTATGAAGCTAACAGCTAGTTTGTTAGTAGTCATTGACGTGGGTTATCGAAAGTCTTTTAACACGTTAACTAACTCCGAATGAAGATATTTGATCATGTTTCCAAAGTGTAATGCCACGCAATACTGATTAAAAACAATAACGGGGTTTCCAAATAGCTTTGTCTAAACAAAGTGCACTTAATATTTAATATCATTCGTTGTATCTCGATGATCAGATTTTTTTCTATGGCGATTGATTCAGTTTGTGTATTAACTGTCGTTATTAAAATTAAAAATAATTATTAATCCAAAGATCACTTACAAATCCGTGTTTGTCCGAAATGTTGTTTGTGAGCTTCAGCTTGTGGAAGGATATCGCCTTCTGCATCCACTGTTCCCCGGTGCTGGGGGAGTCGGGGTGGATGTACATCCTCTTGGGCATCTCGGGGTCAGCTTTGCCGGCCACTGTCCATTTACCGTTGTGGAATTTGTAGCGGCAGTCGTCGACGGGAACGACATCCATCAGCAGTATGTATTTGGATTTTTTGTCCAAGCCAGACAATTTCACGCGAAATCCAGGAAACAAGCGCCTGAAATTTGAATAAAATAGGTTTAGTTTCAAAATTTAAAAATATAAAGGTTTGCAATAAATATTATTCGCTTTGGAAGTAAATATATATACATTTCTGTCGATTTGTATTTCCATTCTCTCCTTATTTATCGCCTTTGCTTCTTATCAAATTCCCAAAGCTGCGTCTATATCTACGGTTTCTCCGCACGACTGGATAATATCTCATTAGAAGTTATATCAATAATCTACATTAACAACAAGGCAAAAGTCCCCTGTTAACTGATTCGTTTAGATGACAAGCACAATTAGTTGTCTACAAAATTACAAAGATAGTAGCCACACTCGTCGCATGGGACTTGAAACATTATAGGTACACCATCCATTTGGCTGGCGCTATAGGCCTGATAAATTTCAATGTTTCGCTGATGAGCTTGATAAGCGGTTTGTATCGAGAAAGGACCTTTAATATTCTCCCTAATCGCCCAAACCAGATAGGGCAGTGAGCGTCCCGACAAGCTCCATTCTTTATCACAACTTCCCGACTTTGTGACGCGCTCATGTCGCGAACTTGCAATGCTCGTTTCACAACATAAACTCTACGGCGATTTTGTCCGACTGCTCGGACCTTCGTTCGCTTCATTGAAAAAGATGGTGTTGATATAATACAGCCTGCTGTGAATTCGCAGCTCCTTTGGCGGAAAACACGGCGATGTTACATGGAAACTACGCCAGATTTAGCAAGATATCTATTCGCCAGGCGCCACACTTTATGGGACTCGCCACTTTATTAGTTAGCTGTCTCAATGTCGGGTTGTTTTGTGCAAAGAGGAATACTCTGAAAGATTTATTCGAAGATTTCCTTTCTCAAGAACTACCACCCACAATGCGAGATTATGATTTAAAGTTTACACTTGCAGGCTAATGTTTATCGAGCTTTTTTAAAAAAAAATAGAAATGGTGTTTACATCACAGTCTTTGTTATTATATGGGAAATAGTAAAATAGGAAATGTTTTCTTCTATTTCTTATGAATGTATATGAATACTAAGTTAAACAATACTAATTAATTTATATTCTGAAAATCATACTCTATCTATATCTATATAAATAAGTCTTGTTTATCAGAAGTCAAGTAAACAATGTCATAAACGCAGATTTGGTTCGTTATATTTAAGACTGAATGACATTTTAAAACTGATCAACAATAAATTCAGCTCCAACAAAGGTATATTCTTTTATAAATTGCCTTTCAAACGTAACGTGTATCATAATTACCCTGCGATAATCACCAATACAACTAAATTATGTACAATAAAATAAATCTAGCGGTTGCAATGTTAATAACACTTTTTTCACAAAACATACACAATATACACACGCCACGAGTGACTCACTTTGACATTCGGCGTATGTATATTTCGCAGTCACATTTCGTAAACATGTTCACAGTTACAACATACGGGACACCTACCTTCCCGATTTGGTAATAACCATTTCCGTGCCGTATTTGTGAAACTGTTCCCAGAGATCCATAGCTTCCAACTCGACGTTAGGATCATCCTGTACGTCGACATCCTGAACGGCTTCCATTCCTCGCAGTGATCGGTACGGATCATGATGAGAGAGAAGATCGGCAGGATTCATCCCCGACCGTCCGAACTGCTTGCCTAGCATCGATGCAGCGAGTCCAGGGTGGGGCAGAGACATATGGGGGGAGAGGTACTGTGGCTGGTGAAGCATGGAGCTAACACCGTACTCCACAGGTCGATGCATGAGGAAAGGATTGTATGCCATGTTGGTACTCTCCGGTCGTGTTTGAACCAACATGTGCTGTGCTGCGCTAGAGAGCGAGAGAGCAACTGAATGTTGAAAGCTAGAGCGTAGCCGCTATATATCCAGCCTGTCAAAGCCGACGCCACAAGGGTTCATTACTGTCGCCATCGTATGAACAGCCCTCCACACGCTAATCTCATCACGCATTGATTGGCTTAGGCGCTGCGCCTGACCAATGAGAGCGCGAGGGGGCGTGGTCTTTTCCGGGCGTGATGGACAGGCTAGACTGTCTGTCTGCGATCTCCGAGTTCTTTATCAAGCCTGACAGTATGTCAACACTTGGGTTTGACACTCCTTCAGCGCGTCTCGTAGTAATGTATTAATTAACCCATCGACAATATGGCTTATCGGCCCCAGTACTCGAAGTCCCGATAGATAGAGAAAGATTTTGGCGAGACATTTTTAAACAAAGCATTCACTCACAAACGTATGGATTTTTTTCAAGCTTGTTTTATCTGGAGCTGTTTGAAGACTATCAAGCCCAGCCCCCCACAACTTGATTGACATTTTTATGTAGAGCTATCGACTCTGACGACAAGCATAGCGCTGTTTACATTTGGGTTTAATCCCCTTGAAGCAGAGCGGGTTGGGATATCTTACGACATTTAAACAGTCGCAGGTTTTATTAAGACTTTAGTGCTGGACAGTCCTAACAAGGGCAACGGGAAAAATGTATAATATTGCGACTTCTACTGGATATACGGCGCTTCATAAAAGGTTGCCCATGTCGCGTGCATTTGTGAGGGGCTACGGCGCCAGTCTGTAAAATATGGCTACTCATAAATAATCAGCTAGCGCCGGGCCCCAGATGTGTATATTTCATCAACGTAGAACAGAGCCTATACAACCTATGAGTGACTCTTTTTAATTCACAAATGACTGAAATCGAGATATGTGTATTGCATGTTAACAGCAAACGGCTTTATTGTCACAAGTCGTAGTTAAAATGATTTTTTTTTTAAAATTATATGACACTAGGTTTTTCAACATTTTCGGTATGTGATGTTTCGGTGGTCTTGTGAATCGGATGTAAATTTTACTCTCGTTCAGACTGTGTGATTTCAACTATCAGACATGTTGCGAGAGGTTTCAGCCACTGTGGCGTCAGTTTGAGAGTTCAATAAAAAGGATTGCTGAGCGATTTCGTCTCACACATATATTACGGCTTACAAATGAGATAAGTAATTAGCGGCTGTGTCACGGTTCGGCAAGGATTTTCTTTTGTCACGGCACTAATCGCTGTTGATCATTTCAACATTCGCCTAATTAGTACTTTATGGCTAAAACACCAAAGGTGTGACTTTTCTTTATAAGTTTCAAAACCATGAATAGTCGGGTGCTTGCTCTCAATCTATCTGGCGCCGGGCTGAGCCGGCCGAATGAGCAATTTGTTCGATGTCCGTTCAGGTGGGAAACAAGCTATTCTCTCCCCTATTTGTTTTTATACCTATGTCGCCACTGAGGTCCCTACAGACCCTAAGCCCTTAATAGCAGGCTTGATAATGCCAGTTATATACACTGCTCGCCCGTTAGGAGCGAGAAAGTTGCGGATTTAGACCCCAAAGCCTCGAATAATAACCCCACAGATGAGAAGAAACGATTGAAAGGTGTATGAAAGACGTGTTTTGTTCACTAAATTCTCATTCAACACCTTTAACAAAACGAAAGTTTTTCGTTGTTGTTTCTCAGTTTTTCATTCCATCTGCGGTGAAACTGTGTATACCAATAGTTTCATTAATTTCATTATTCCATTTACGTCAACGTTACCACTGTACGATTATGTGCAATTATAGATATTAGTGTTATTTTATGTTCGTTAGTTAAATGACTTGACACGTCAGTCAGCTTTTTACACTTTTAACGAAACATTACATGCAGTGCATATTAATAAAATGTACTACCACCATTTTCTTTGGTATGTGGCGGAGTTCGATGATAGAGTACATATTTACTCCAGAAAGATATTTTAATATAGTTCCAATTGTTGTGAAAATGATGTCATAAAATTAATCAAAATCCTCTAATTTCGTAATGAATTTGGGAGAGCACACGTTTGGTGAACAGCCGTTGTCACTAATGACACTAGACTTTCATTAATCGCACGAGACAATAGCATAATGAGTCATTGCCTCAAGTCCTGCATTGACTGTAAGGGATTTCATCCATTGTCGTAAACATGTCAGTTTCCTTACTGTCAATCAACAGCACATCCTATCAATGTGCAAAGCTATTGACAATTCACTGTTTCAAATGCACAGTGACATTAAGGACGAAATTAACCATTTGCAACTTGATTATACAGTAACATTGACAATACATTTACTCCTGCTATATACTAAAGTCACCAGATATACATTACTAGTATTGACATCTCTCAACATCTTTCAACCCGGATAACATAATCAGTGTTTGACTATGAGAACCAACTGTTTTGGAAATGATATTAAGTTATATCTATTTAACATGTCATTTAAAACAGGATTTTTACTAAAATTAGGTATTTGTGGCTTAAATTTCGTTTCGAAAACGAATGTTTTCGATCTCGAACTGAACTGATTTGCACCCGATTAACATCGCTGGGTATTGTTAGAGTAGCTCAGACTACCAGTTGCTGGACGCATTTCTAAAAAAACATAAGTCACAAAAATCCTTCAAATCATCTCTTTTTTAAAAAAAAAAATATATATATTGCAATTATTCTTTAATTCCTGTTGCAACAACCCACGTTCCAAAACCGTTACTGCAACGTTATTTTAAAGCCAATGCAAAATACATACATTGAAGTCTTTGGTAGGTATTTGGAGTTTGGAAGACTATGAGCCTTTAATGGATAGCTTAAAGCCTTACTCTTTTATTATTTAAAACGACATTTCAGGGCTGCATCATCACTGACTGATCTGCCTGTCTTCAAAAGAACTATTTGTGAAACGTGTAGGCTTTTATGTTTTTACTCAGTAAAGTAAAATTGTAGCAATTATTTTAAAGAAATGTAAGTAATATCAGTTTAATTATATGTAATGTTTGAAACAAAAAAGTAAATTTGGATTTTTATGTGCTTACTAAATTATTGGTTTTAACTGTTTCGAATGTGCTTCGTATTTAATCAGTAAGCGGGCTCTAACTGAGTAATCTACACGACTACACATTTCTTTTCGAGGCGGGCGAATTACTCTAACAACATCAGGTTTAAACTGGCGCCTTCTCCCTTGATATTAGCATACCGTCTCGGTGAACTCGCACAATCAGTCTATCACATTTATCGCCTGTTTGATAGAATTGTTTTGACAGCAAGGGTAACTGATTGACTAATTTTCACTTCAGTCGATTTTATTGTGTGTTTTTCTTGCAATCGACATTGTTTCTCGAGCAAACTTCAAAGCCCCGCGCCACTCCGTCGCGCAATGTATCTGGGTTTGTTTGTTTTTGACAATAGGTCGTAAATTACAGATTAGGGAGAAAATGCTAATTTGGCTAATTTCACAACCCCCACTGAAAACTACTCACGATCACGAACCTGAATGTTTTCACTTGATAGATCTTGTCTATATCTTTTCTTTGTCAATCAAGCCAAGCGTTGTCATTGACTCCTCGTTGACGTGTATTTGTCAACAAGATAGACAACGAGTAGGGATTATTTCGGTGAATCTTCAGTCGTAATTGGATTCGCAATAACCACCTAATTATGCTATTTGAGAATTTTGTGGTCCTAAGAACAGATAAGGTAATTACGATATTTTTTTTAATTTGCCAAAAAACCGACAGGCGCTATTAATCAGTATTTTGTCAGTGAGCAGACTTGACATGTTGCTAGAGTTGCTATGCAACTGTTAGTGTGATATTTATTTCAGAGGCGGCGTGAGATACACACTTTATTTTTAACACCTAAGTGAGAATATATGAGTCATGTTTGAAATTTATCGAAATCACATTTTGGAAATATAGATTTCAATCTAAATATTGAAAAATCAATTGACACCCGATATGCCCTGTGATAATTTATAGTAGGACCCGTCCATCTATCCCTCTTCATGTACAGATGTCCAATCAACAACGTGTACATTTGTGAAAAGAATCATGTTTTAGAAAGAAATGTACATTCAGTTTCTCTCTGATCATTTAATATCTGCTGGTTCATGTAATATTTTTATTCTAGAAGGTAATATACTCTTTATAAAATAAATAAAATAATTTGAACTATTATGTGAGTTTGGGTCAATAGCTTTGGTTTATGACTTTAGATATACACACAAAATAGGTGAATAGATTGATACATCTGATTAATTTCGTTTCCCTACCAAAAGCCACATGTCCAGACATTAGCAAGTACCAGGTACCCTAGCACTGTTTACGAGCCCAGTATCTCCCGAATCACTGCATTGCATAAAGCTACCGGTTATTTGCCAGGTAACAGTGCCTTGTAACAGCACGGGCGGTTAATCAGCGAGCTCCCTGCTGTGGGCGAGGTATCTCGCCACACGACAAAAGAAAGGGGTACAGAAGAGAGTCATTACAACCATGTTTAGCAGACATGCAGGTGGGGTCGGATTTAAGACCCTAGGGGTCCACTGTGAAGGAGGGGAGGTTTTGCGGCATACGTTCTGAAATTTGATAGGGATTAACCTTAAAACCTAGGCAATGAGGGTTGGGGAGTCGGCATTAGAGCATGTGAACCGATTAACTTTAGTCATTTACAGAAAGATTGTTATATGGTCCATCCAAATACTTAATTTGATATAATGTGAACATCCATAAATGTCTTATGAATGAATGTAAGTTCATGATAAAGTCAGAGAAAACACAACTTCTGGTTTATTGTTGTTGTCGATAAAGTAGTATGTTTTCTTACTTACTGCCAACTTCTAGAATGCCAATCAAACAGTTAATAAAGTCACAGGAAAAATAGTTACAGAAAATAATAATTTGTCTCACATTTTAAAACAACAATTTGTGTAAGACTATCACACATTTTGAGAGAGTATTAACTAGAGGGAGATAATTAATCTTAAGGTTAATATGGGGATATGTCATTTTAACAAGATTAAAAGATTTGATGCCATTGTCAAAATTAAG